TAGAGAACCTGGGTACAAGGATATATATCTAAGGGTTATACTCTCTAAGAGGTGACCCTATACAGTCAATACAAACATTAGAGATACAAATGTTTGACATTGTCCTCACATACTAGTACAAGGGTTCAACTCAAGACTTCCGCTGTGCTATCAAGCACTCTGTTACAAGAACTTCGCATTCTCAAAAGATCCTAGGGCTGCTCTCAGCCCAACAAACTAGAATGAGGGATACAGGGTGGTTTTGTTATGAGGGATTGTACGCTCTGTAAGCATGCACCTATCTAGTCTATAAACATATACAAATATATGTTGACAGAAGGGCCCTTATAAACCGCATGCGGCAGCATGAGGTCACACGTGCAATCCTGACGGGGGAAATGCAGGTTGAGGGAGGCCTTGACCTCGGCAAACACCTTCTGCTGCTAGCCTGCTCCGCTATCGCCTCCTCCTCACTCATCCCTGTCTGCTGCCCCTTTCACGTATACGTGTCTCAAGCCTCTCATCCCTGCTGGCCCTTGACTCGACTGAGAAGCCACCTTGTCACGAGGAAGGGCGCTGCAGGTTGAGCATGGCAGCCCTGGCCTCGGCAAACATCTTCTGCTGCTCCGCTATCGCCTCCTCCTCACTCATCCCTGCCGGGCCCGATGCCTTGCTGCTGCTCGACCGCCCCAATGCGCGTGGTGACTCCTGCAGAGGAGGCAGCGGGTGGAGGAGAGAGCACGCAACACAGAGAGATGTGCGCTGGATGAAAGGCTTGGTGGTGCGCGACCGGTGCAACACCTGCAATGGGCAGTGCATGGGGTAAGAGAACGAGAATGAGGCAGATGCACGATAGACAAATGCCCTGCTGCTATGCGCCCGGCGCAATGCCCCTGGTGAGCCCTGCAAGGGGAAGCAGTCAGCGATAGAACACGCATATGTGTCTAAATGTGATGGCCAGTAGCGAGAGCAGACAGCAGGAAAGGGCAGTGTCGGTGGGCACGAAACTAACATGAGAAAGTAGCTGCTCAACAGACCACTGGTAGCACACGGGTGGATTCGTGGGAGGCCAGGCGACACATGGGTATGTTTCAGCACGGAACAGAGAGCACTGGGAGGGGGCACGACGAGACATGCAGCACGGAAAACTGCACCGGGCACAAGATGGAGATTCAAGTGAGGTGCAACAGCACCCGTTTCACCCAAGGAGTGTGAAGAGACTAGCAAGAGGAGTGGGACATGTGAGTAGCAAGTGAGACGCGAGTGAGTGGCAAGAGAGTGGTGTGTTCATGCAGTGCTCACCAGGGTTTCTGACTTGTGCTGGTCGTACGCTGCTTGCACCTCCGCCAGATAGCTGCTGAAGCCCAGGGACTGGAGGAGTGGGGGAGAGAGGCAGGAGGAGAGGAGAGAGGCAGCAGGCAGGAGAGGGGCGGCAGAAGGGAGGTGACTTTTGCGTCCACTCAAAAGTCGCTGGTTCCACCTCCGCCAGATAGCTGCTGAAGCCAATGGAGTGTGGGAGGGAGCGGCAGGAGCAGAAAGTGGGAGAGAGGTAGTGGAAGACCCAGGAGTACAGGGAGCAGAGAGGCAAGGAGGCGGGCATGGAAGGCAAGGAGGGCATGTCAGTATGCAGGGCGCACAGGTGGTAGCATGCATGTCTGTATGCAGGGCGCACAGGTGGTAGCATGCATGTCTGTATGCAGGGCGCACAGGTGGTAGCATGCATGTCTGTATGCAGGGCGCACAGGTGGTAGCATGCATGTCTGTATGCAGGGTGCACAGGTGGTAGCATGCATGTCTGTATGCAGGGCGCACAGGTGGTAGCATGCATGTCTGTATGCAGGGCGCACAGGTGATAGCATGAGCAAACTTGCTTGCTTTTAACACCACCCCCAGATGCATGCATGCCTCTGTCACCAAATCTCCTTACCCTACCTCCAACACCCAGGATTGCACCCACTCCCTCACCTCCAGCGCCTGGAGAACATGCTCGGGAGCGATGGTTCGCTTGTCCTCCTTACTGCATATCTCGTTAGCCTCAGATGATATCAGATTGATGAATTCTGCAGAGAAACATATGGAACACATCACGAATGGTGACAGCGGGATGAACGGGAGGATGATGTTAGGATGATGAGGATGCTCAACCCAACACAGCCAGCTTGGGAGGCACAGCCACCGAGGCACAGCCACCCACCGAGGCACAGCCACCCACCTACCACAACCACCCACCTAGGCAGCCAGTCCCCCCCCCACGGTTTCCAGTGCCACCCACCAAGGCAGCAATCACCCACCGAGGCGGCAATCACCCACCGAGGCAGCAATCACCCACCGAGGCAGCAATCACCCACCGAGGCAGCAATCACCCACCAAGGCAGCAATCACCCACCGAGGCAGCAATAACCAACCGAGGCAGCAATCACCCACCGAGGCAGCAATCACCCACCGAGGCAGCAATCACCCACCGAGGCAGCAATCACCCACCGATGCAGCAATCACCCACCGAGGCAGCAATCACCCACCGAGGCAGTAACCACCCAACAAGGCAGCAATCACCCACCGAGGCAGCAATCACCCACCGAGGAAGCAATCACGCACCGAGGCAGCAATCACCCACCGAGGCAGCAATCACCCACCGAGGCAGCAATCACCCACCGAGGCAGCAATCACCCACCGAGGCAGCAACCACCCATCGAGACAGCAATCACGCACCGAGGCAGCAATCACCCCCCGAGGCAGCAATAACCCACCGAGGCAGCAATCACCCACCGAGGCAGCAATCACCCACCGAGGCAGCAATCACACACCGAGGCAGCAATCACCCACCGAGGCAGCAATCACCCACCGAGGCAGCAATCACCCACCGAGGCAGCAATCACCCACCGAGGCAGCAATCACCCACCGAGGCAGCAATCACCCACCGAGGCAGCAATCACCCACCGAGGCAGCAATCACCCACCGAGGCAGCAATCACCCACCGAGGCAGCAATCACCCACCGAGGCAGCAATCACCCACCGAGGCAGCAATCACCCACCGAGGCAGCAATCACCCACCGAGGCAGCAACCACCCATCGAGGCAGCAATCACCCACCGAGGCAGCAATCACCCACCGAGGCAGCAATAACCCACCGAGGCAGCAATCACCCACCGAGGCAGCAATCACCCACCGAGGCAGCAACCACCCACCGAGGCAGCAACCACCCACCGAGGCAGCAATCACCCACCGAGGCAGCAATCACCCACCGAGGCAGCCCACCGAGGCAGCAGTCACCCACCGAGGCAGCAACCACCCACCGAGGCAGCAACCACCCATCGAGGCAGAAACCACCCATCGAGGCAGCAATCACCCACCGAGGCAGCAATCACCCACCGAGGCAGCAATCACCCACCGAGGCAGCAATCACCCACCGCGGCAGCAACCACCCACCGAGGCAGCAACAACCCATCGAGGCAGCAACCACCCATCGAGGCAGCAATCACCCACCGAGGCAGCAATCACCCACCGAGGCAGCAATCACCCACCGAGGCAGCAACCACCCACCGAGGCAGCAACCACCCACCGAGGCAGCAATAACCCACCGAGGCAGCAATCACCCACCGAGGCAGCAATCACCCACTGGGGGAGCAATCACCCACCGAGGCAGCAATCACCCACCGAGGCAGCAATCACCCACCGAGGCAGCAATCACCCACCGAGGCAGCAATCACCCACCGAGGCAGCAATCACCCACCGAGGCAGCAACCACCCACCGAGGCAGCAACCACCCACCGAGGCAGCAACCACCCACCGAGGCAGCAACCACCCACCGAGGCAGCAACCACCCACCGAGGCAGCAACTACCCACCGAGGCAGCAATCACCCACCGAGGCAGCAATCACCCACCGAGGCAGCAATCACCCACCGAGGCAGCAATCACCCACCGAGGCAGCAATCACCCACCGAGGCAGCAATCACCCACCGAGGCAGCAATCACCCACCGAGGCAGCAATCACCCACCGAGGCAGCAACCACCCACCGAGGCAGCAACCACCCACCGAGGCAGCAATCACCCACCGAGGCAGCAATCACCCACCGAGGCAGCAATCACCCACTGGGGGAGCAATCACCCACCGAGGCAGCAATCACCCACGGAGGCAGCAATCACCCACCGAGGCAGCAATCACCCACCGAGGCAGCAATCACCCACCGAGGCAGCAATAACCCACCGAGGCAGCAATCACCCACCGAGGCAGCAATCACCCACCGAGGCAGCAATCACCCACCGAGGCAGCAACCACCCACCGAGGCAGCAACCACCCACCGAGGCAGCAATCACCCACCGAGGCAGCAATCACCCACCGAGGCAGCAATCACCCACTGGGGGAGCAATCACCCACCGAGGCAGCAATCACCCACCGAGACAGCAATAACCCACCGAGGCAGCAATCACCCACCGAGGCAGCAATCACCCACCGAGGCAGCAATCACCCACCGAGGCAGCAACCACCCACCGAGGCAGCAACCACCCACCGAGGCAGCAATCACCCACCGAGGCAGCAATCACCCACCGAGGCAGCAATCACCCACTGGGGGAGCAATCACCCACCGAGGCAGCAATCACCCACCGAGGCAGAAATCACCCACCGAGGCAGCAATCACCCACCGAGGCAGCAATCACCCACCGAGGCAGCAATCACCCACCGAGGCAGCAATCACCCACCGAGGCAGCAATCACCCACCGAGGCAGCAATCACCCACCGAGGCAGCAATCACCCACCGAGGCAGCAATCACCCACCGAGGCAGCAACCACCCATCGAGGCAGCAATCACCCACCGAGGCAGCAACCACCCACCGAGGCAGCAATCACCCACCGAGGCAGCAATCACCCACCGAGCAGCAATCAACCCACCGAGGCAGCAATCACCCACCGAGGGCAGCAATCACCCACCGAGGCAGCAATCACCCACCGAGGCAGCAATCACCCACCGAGGCAGCAATCACCCACCGAGGCAGCAATCCACCACCGAGGCAGCAATCACGCCACCGAGGCAGCAATCACCCACCGAGGCAGCAATCACCCACCGAGGCAGCAACCACCCATCGAGGCAGCAATCACCCACCGAGGCAGCAATCACCCACCAAGGCAGCAATAACCCACCGAGGCAGCAATCACCCACCGAGGCAGCAATCACCCACCGAGGCAGCAATCACCCACCGAGCAGCAATCACCCACCGAGGCAGCAATCACCCACCGAGGCAGCAATCACCCACCGAGGCAGCAATCACCCACCGCGGCAGCAATCACCCACCGAGCCAGCAATCACCCACCGAGGCAGCAATCACCCACCGAGGCAGCAATCACCCACCGAGGCAGCAATCACCCACCGAGGCAGCAATCACCCACCGAGGAAGCAATCACCCACCGAGGCAGCAATCACCCACCGAGGCAGCAATCACCACCCGAGGCAGCAATCACCCA